GAAACTTAGCTATCTAAAATATCTAAATACTTGAGGCTTTTTTCATGTGAACACATGGAACTCTACCCACTTACTTAAAATGCACAAAAGTGAGCAAGTAAGAGTGAATTCTTGCCTTTAGCCTGAGTTTTCCCACAGATAATGATGGAATACTTTTTCTGCAACTATTTGTGTTTACAGGAGTAATTGGAGTTTTGAAGGATGTGTGGCAACTACAAAGTACATTGCGATGCCAGTTGTCTCCAGAGTTTTCTACAGTAGTTGCCCAATGGGAATTCAGTTTCTAAATTAGTGGTAGGTCAATCTGAACATTAGTCATGTTAAATTACTTTTCTTGAGTGAGCAAATGTCTCTTTGTGACTTTTTTGTGCTGAAGGAAGAACTCATCAAGGTGAGGCACCTGTTGGAAACTGTGATGCTGTTTACAGTAAGCATTTTTCACACTGCTCTGCTCCAGGCAGTGGATAGCAATATGAATGTTTTAATTGTGGTGGTGTTGAACATTTGGCATGGTCTGATACTATGCAATAATACAGAGCTTTCAGTAGAGCAAAATTCTGTGCTTTTACATGCTTCTCATTTCCTACAATATCTGTATCAATAGTTTGTAATAGCTTTTGGATCTACCTAAAAAGAAGGAATACGTTTGAGATGTGCAACAGAGAACATGTGTGCTATGGAATAAAAAATAAAAATGGATTTTTAACAGGCAAAACCGGGATTTCTTAAGAAGAGAGTGGAAAAGGAACCTTATTTGGACAAATGTCCAAGAGTTTATTAGGTGTTTCAGATGGTCAAGGAAAACAGGTATAGTCACACAAGAATCCAAATATCAATCTCTGTTTCATTTACTGGATTTTTTTTTTTTCAATTTTATTAAAGTTCCTGTTTTCATGATAGTTAATGAATACTGTTAATGACAGTTTCCCACAGGTGTTGCTTACTTGTGACTTAAGTAAATTATTTTGTATCTGCAGCCCCATGAAAAAATAGGCTTTACAGGAAGAAAAGGTTTATAGAAGCAAGGGAAAAAACCTGCAAAAGTAGTGCTGTGTTTATATGCATGATGACATTCCATTTTTTCTTGGATGAGCCAAACTATACAAAGTAGTTTATAGCAAATTTTTTCCTTCCCAAAATCAGGGACATTTCAATGGCATCTCACAACATACATCATCTTGATGGCTTACAGGATTAGTGAGGCTGCATTCCGTTTGTGATACTGGTGTGAGCTTGTTGCTATTGGCATCAATGGGCTCTGGTTTCTTCTCAGGAGAACAGAATATTTCTCATGTCCAAGGATGGAGTTATGTTACTATGAATAGTAAAGCCTGAACTGTCCTTCAGATGAACAGATGCTTGTTCAAAACTGAAGAGAAGCACATGAAAAAAAGCATAAAAATCAAGATTTGCAGCAAGAGATAATACCTAATTCACCACAGATTAAATTGCTAAACTGGCATGTACTTTTCACTAGAAATAGGAGCTCAATTATATTAATTTTTAAAGGTATGCTACTTTGCCCTGTGTTTCTGTATACATAAATGGTATGGAGTTAGTAGAGCCTAAAATTGCATAAACAAGGTGATTAGACAGCGTGGTCCTGATGAGTGAACAACTATTGTTCTAGCAGCTAGTTATGCAAGGAGCTATCTTGATGTCCGAGGTGCGTATCAAAATACTATTTGTGTTTTTCATTTGTCTGGCCCATTGGGATCAGCTATAGGGTGAACAAAATGCTGTCCTAGCATAGTCATGATTTTCCATTATCTTGACAGTCTTTCTTTATATTTTCTTTGTAACCTGTAATGCTGGAAAAAGTAACCTTATAAGAGGAAACAGATGACCAAGCTGAAGGTCCTTTGTGTGTTAAACATTAGTCATCTGTGTGGACAGGTATCCTTATTTTTGGTTTTTCATTTTTGTCTTTATTGTGTTAATTATCTGCTTTTTCAGACATATTTCAAGAGGTCTTGGTATTGCTGTATTTAGGCAGGAGTAGTAATAAACAAAGGACATTCCTAGTAGGTTCATTGTGCCCCTTAATTTTTATGTGGCTTGATCTTAACAAGAAAAGGTAAAGTGTTACTATTATTCTGATAAAGCCATCTTTTGATTTTTGCTATTAATGAAAGCTACGTGAGTGGTCAAAATTAATCAAAGATAATCTTTAAATAAACACACATAAAATTATTTGCTTAGAGAGTGGCCATAAATTTTAGACCAATGTTTTCTGTTTCTCATTATTGCTAGACTTTTAACTTCTGGGTGGATGCAATGACAGTAACAGAAATGTCTTTTTAAATGTCTGTATTCCTAGGTGACATGCAGTGTCAGGTATTCTTATGGAAAAGAGCATTTAAAGAAACCATTTTTGGTCAAATAAATTTGATCTTAAGTAACCTGCAATGAAATGGCACTCAGCTGATTTTATAATAGGTTTAAACCAAAGTTAGTGTGGCTCAACAGCATCAAATGAGGCAATTTTCTTTTAAAATTTTGGTTTAGGGTTAGTAATTAAGCCTTTCGATGTGTGTGTGTATGTGTGTAGATAAAATTTTTAGGAAGTATTGATCTAGAAAAGCATTGATTAGCAAAAAGTAACTGAAGAGTTGAAGCATTGGTTTTGGTCTTGGTGCATAGTTGTCAGCAGAAGGAAAAGCACATTTTCTTTAAGCATAATCAAGTACTACTTTCAGTCCTTTTGCCTCAGACCATTTGCCTGTCATAACAAATTCCTCATGTACAATCTCAGTCTAAGTTCCTGTTGTTTTATTACCAATTTTTAAAGAAAATTTAAGCCTAGGTATCATGCATTTACCTGTCTATGTATCTAGTGTTACTTACGTGCCTCTAATAAAATAAAGAAAACCTCTGAACTTTCCATGCTCAGAACTACCTGGCTATCAAGATTTCAGTTCAGTAGCTTGTGCTTAGCAAGTTTCAGCTTACTACAACTATCATTAAAGGAAATTAAATTTTCTAAGTCAGTAATGTATTAGGACTCTATACAAAGAGTAAAACTGAAAGCAATTTTCTTTGCTTGTAGCTTTTATTTAATCAGAAATTACATGAGTAAAGAAGTACCCTTCTCTGCAGTCTTCTCAAAATGAATTTAAGAAAATACTTTAATTTTCAAAATAGATAAGGGTGCTGAGGATAGTTTCATAATGAATCTCTTAGGTCAATTAAACAACAAGAGAAGTTAACATTATCCCAGTATTAGTCTCTAAAAAGATGATCAGCTGTTACAATTTCCCCCGATTTCTGTCTCACTTGCTGGACTTCAGGCCTGAAAAGTGTTTTCCTGGACATTAAACCTGCAGAACAAAACAGGAGTTGGATGGCTGCTGTCCCTGTCCCCACCACAGGCATGTGCCACACCTTGGCAATTGTGAAGCACTTTTGCTCTTGTTTTTCCCCTTGGTAACATGGGAATAATGTCACTCATTTCCTCTTAGAAAACACAGACTCTAAGTATTCATGTGCTCTGTTAGAAAGAGTTCTCTGAAAGCTGTGAGATTATTTGATCCATAACAGTTAGGGTTTCTTCCCAACCCTCAATACCTTAAATTCTTGGTGTAGTAATTTTAGCCCTTATTTTTTACTTATTTTGCTTTACCAGGTATGCTATCTATACACTGATTCCTGCTGCTTCCAATACACAGGGGCAAAATAATTAATTTTTTATGTCAGATGCAGCTATGGAAAATAGAAATATGTGCTTAATGGCTGAGGCTTAGCTAAAGTTAGTGCATTGTCTTTGCACTGCAGCTGAATCCTAATGAAAGTGTTCCAAAACTGGCACAGTAGACCAGTGTGTTAAGTGTCCTTATTTAATGGGTGGGTAAAGAGTCTGGAGTATTTTTAATCCAATGTTTCTGGACCTAGATGTCACCTAATTTCTGCAATCCACAGCATGACTTGGAAAGGTGCAGTTTTTCAGACAAGTTTGTATCCAAGTGCAATACAAAGATCTTTCTCTCTTCTTCTGACTCACACCTCTGCCAGATGCAATATTATCAGATCACCTGGTGCAGTTCAGGAAAATAGAGCGATGACATGTTTTGTTTTCTTCTTCCAGAGCATGCACAGGTACATAAATTCACACCTGCTTGCCCCAGGGATGCAGGAACCCCACTGACATTTTCAGTGTCAAGATTCCTCCTCATACTTTGGATTTAATTTAACACCTGTATGGAGGTAGAAAACTGAGTGTGTGCACCACCACAGCTGACCCGGCCTGACTGTGTTGAAAAGGGCAATTTTAACAAAGTCACGTGGAGAGAGGCAAGGATGTATTTTCCAGACTAGAGATAGCACAGGTGCAAATTCCTTCAAGGAGTACATGGTACACACCCTGCTAAGGGGACAATCCCCAAACAGCTCATTCCATCATTGATCTGTAGGCAGAGAAGAATTGGGGTTTTTTGAGCTTCAGAAGCCCAAAACAGACAGACAGCATATTTGCACTGTCCATTTCTCCTATTCTGTGCTTTGGGACCCATACAAGGAGCTTAATTATTCATCTATTAAATGCATATTTGGAATTGCTTTAGCATCTTAGCATTTTGATATAAAGCATTGAATCTCCTTTAGGGTTTTTCAAAAGATGGAAGAGTCATCCCCACCCATTCTTCAACACTTGATACCTAATTACCCAAAAGGATGAGTTTTAGTAAACAAGAAATTTTTGTAAGAAATGAGGCTCCTCATGTAGAGCACGAGCTGAACATATCCTTGTGCCCTCCACAGCCCTGGATCAATTTCCACCGTTCTCCCCACACCAGAGGGCACCCAAGCAAAGGGACCAGGGGCTGAGGAGCATTCCTTCATCTGGCAGGGCTGAGATGGGTTCCCTGGTGCTCTCAGGATCCCCAGCCCATCCCTCTGAACCCAGGTCCTGTGGCAGAGTGGCTAGAAGGAAAACTGATTATTAATTCTGCTTTTTTTGCTGTGTCTCCTTGGAGAGCAGAGCAGGGCCTCAGNACACATTCCTGAAACGTAGGGCACATTGAAATGAAGCACAGCCTATTCAACAGAGGCAGCCCATTTCATTGCTCTGCAATCTCCGACCTTCATTCTAATGTTCTCTTCTTTTCAGTTTATGGAGAATTCATAGGTGTGTCAGGCAAATCTTCTGAGGCTGATGTTGTCACTCTTGGTGATGATGATGAATCTCCTATGGTAAGTAGTGACTGGCACACTCCTCTCCATATTGCATGAAGATTAATTTTCTTGCCCTCTGGAATCTTACTAAGTCCCCTGGCCTCCAAGGTTGAAAGATGCCTCTGATGTACCACACTAGACACAGTTCCCAGTCAACCCCAAACACACTCACGAACACATCAGCCTGCCTGAGAATTAAATGCAGAGAGTGGATGAACAACCTAAAAGAGGTTGTTGCTTCAAGTGATTGAAAAGAGAGCCCATGGTGATGAAATGATACCATTTACATTTGGAGAGAAAAAGGCTGCCTGAGGCAGATGAACCTTTGCTTTGCACAGAACCTTGGAGACAAGTGTGGGGGTATGTCAGAGAACGGGGATTACTTGCTTCAAATCCCAGAGATGGCTGACTCACTACACCTTTTTTCAACCAGGACACTTCAGGGCAGGGAAACCCCAAATCCTCCCTAAATGCAGAAAAACTGAGAGTTAAAGACAGCAGGCTTCTTCAGAGGAAATGTGCCAGGGCTAGTCAGTGCATTTGCATGATTATTTGAGATTTTATGTATGAAGAACCATTGAAGTGTGATGATATTAACAGCTGCATGTTCTTTCTGCTTCTGTTCCCTCTAGTGCAGAGCCAGGAATTGTTATTAAGTGTCCAATTTGCATGGACTTTTACTCGGAGGTAAGGCTCCACCTCTTGTCATGCTTTGTGCTTTGTGGGAGGAGGAAGAAGCCAACAGGGGAGTTGCACAAGTCAGTTGGCTGATGTGGGCAGCTGGCTGGAACCACAGCCCTTGCTGGGAAGCTCCACAAGTCCCTTCTTGGTGGTGAATGTAGAGGGAGAAGCCCTTGCCAGGACGGCACTGGCAGATCCTTTGGTCCCTCATTGTTCTAATTGATTGCAGATGCTCTCAAGTCTCATTTGCCTGGTGCCAATAGAGCAGCAAACTCGAATTCTTTCCTCCCAATACATGTTGTTGTTGTTTTCTTTCTTCTAGATTGGGCAAAGTGCACGAGAGCTTGTGTCAATCGTGTTCTGCAGCGCGTGCCTCCCTGCTGCCCTGGACACTACCAGCATGTGCCCAACCTGCAGAGCGGAATGCAATCCAGAAATGTATTTTCCAGTTTATTTAGGAGTGCTTCTGTTTCTCAGGAGTCAGATGGATCCTGGGGAATAGGCAATGTAGAGGCTTGTTTCTTTATGTATATAGTTCTTCCTGTACATAGTTTCATAAATAAAGTTTTGATTGATTTAAATCTAGTCTGTCTGCTCTTCTGTGTTGGACTGTGCTGATAGACAGAGATGTGGAAATAAGGCTCTTGGTTTGAGCAGTCAGAAGCTCATTCTTTTCATCACACTGTAGTCACTGATTTGGGGGAAATGTGTTAAAGCCATGGGCTTTGTAGTTCTTGTGGCCAATAAATAATAATTTAATAATAATTGACTAATAATTGTGGCCAATCAAGAGTGTGTTGTACAGGGAAAAGAACCAGGCGCTGCTTGGGATGCAAGGCCTTGTACTTCTCAGGCCACAATCTGGTGGATGTTTAGGTGCAAATGTCATGATTTCAATGCTCAGAGGATGGAGAGAGGAGCAGGTTGTGCATACACCCAGAAGATGGAGAGAGGAGCAGGTTGTGCACATACCCAGAAGATGGAAAGCAATTTTCTTGGAGAATAACTGGTATGTTAACAAACTGCTGCATTTCGTTTTGCAAGGTTTCATTAGAGTTAGAATCTGGAGGCTTTTGAAGGAATGTGTGTTTGAATGGATGAAATTGGTTCCTGACCTGGAGCTGTTAGCAGTACACTGTGTTGTAGTTCCCTTCCTTTAATTACAGCAGTTTAATCCTAAGTTACCTTGAAGAGAAAGGCAATTGTCCAGAGATATAATAATTGGACATAAGAGAGGAAAGAAAATGACTTCTGTTATATAAAAGTAAAAAAGAGGCAAAGGCAGATCTCAGGTCAACAATGCAACAGTAAATTTGTTGTGCCATGAAATAGAAAACAGAAAACTAAACTTTCCTTACTTACAACATTGTTCTGAAGCCCACTTTTTTATGTCTTTTTCAGTTTTAGCATTTTTTTCCTTTGGATTTCTTTAATTTTTTTCACTTTTATACAGTAGCATATCAAAGTCGTTGGCAGGATTCTCATCACAGATCAGTTATTTTGTAATGATTAGGGAATGACAGATCAAGTGATTTTAAATGGTGTTGCAGATAAGGAGGAGGATTGAAACGCTTCACAGTTTTAGATTTTACGTGGGGATGTGATACCCATTTCTCAAGGAAGCTACCAAGTTAGATGGAAATCATAGATGTATTGCATTAGGGGACCTCCAAAAGGCCTTCCTCTTATTTTCCCAGGGGTGGAAATTAGAGTGCCCTCCATGTAGGTCCTAGAGTTGTCCTTCTGGCTGATAGATTTACCTTTCTGAAATTATTGGGAAACCTGCCCTGGCTCCACAACCTTTCAAAGAAGATAAGAAGCAGCCTCATGATGATTACAGCCAGCTCTCCCAGGACTCTCTGATGGGTCCTGTTTACTTCTATGGACTTGTATGAGCTAGAGAACTGTGCCCAAGTAGGGGAAATGAAGTTGTGGCTGTGGTAAGATGGGAAATAGGAAACGTGGACTAAACATGGAGGGTACATTTTCTGATCTCTGAAATAAACATAGGTATGCCTAAAATGTAATTTTAAACTTACTTAGGTAAAAATAAAAGATAAAACCCCCATGTAGTAGCTACCCTACTGATCAGATGTTTTAGCCTGATATTCTCCAGATAGTAGGGTACTTCTGGTGCAGGCATGTGAAGAGAAGCAGTGAGGTATAAATGTGCAGACAGAAGGGTTTGCTGAATGGAGCGTGGTTATTTGACATACTCCAGCTGTGGTACTCTCTCCCTCTAGCAATTTTGTTTCCTTTCCCTGCTGTATATTTGTAGGAAGGTTTTTGATCTGGTATGTTCTGGACTGTGAACCATTTCCGGATTATCTGTGCCTATTTGAATTGATAGAGGTAAGAGCTGCTTATGTGGTGTTTGGGTTTTTTTTCCTTTTTTTGACCAGCTTATCTCAATTTTGGTTGCATTCAGTCTGTATAAAAAAATACACATTAAAACACAATCATAAGCTGAAGAAAATAATGTAGGTGATTTTAATAGCTTGTATGCAAAGAATCCTACTATTTTGCAAAGAAAATACAAAAATGGTGGTCTGGGATATCATAACTAAGTTCTTGTAGAGCTCTTAGAGTGCCAATAAGCTTGCAAACTCAAAGTAAAGTGATTGCATTATATAACATGAATATTTCTTTGTGATATTTGTATTTAGCCAGTGGAATTTCTCACAACAACTACCATTGAGCTGGGTTTTAAATTAGGGTTTTAAATTGAAGGTGTTTTAAATAAGACAACAAAGTTATGCATGGTTCAAGTAGATGGTAGGGAAGGATCATGAGGGACAGTATCCTCATGGTTTAGAACTTAGGCTGAGAATTTTGAGCCAACTGATCTTTGTTACAAACTTTGCTGCTCCTTTTTCAAAGGCATCCAGTCCAGATCACTTTTGGCAACCAGAAGAACCAAGGTTCTGATTCACGACTGCAAATCCCAGGCACCCTCCTTCAACTGAGGTCTGCAGTGGGTGACTTCCTAAAATTAACTTTCATTCAATTTTATTCTGCAGCTATGAAAATGTAGAATTGCTGAGCTTCTGGTTATTTTGGGATCCAGCTAACATTACTTTTCAACTTAAATTGTAGATACTTTCATGAATAGATACCCATTTTTATACCCATTTTCAGTGTTACAGTTCCTGAGCTGTAAGGTATATATTTTGCTATGGCTCAATATAACCTTGGAAGATGACATGTTGGGCTGATAACAACTCCTGGTGTATTTTATTGGCATTGCTCTCTTAAAAAAATCACATCAGATATAGAGTATTGAGCTGCCTGAGAGGTCAGCAGTTATAGTAGATGTGTGTAATTTTGCACACATTTAGCTAATTTTGTAGAAAGAGCTAATGTTTGGCCCCCGTGAAGGTTGTTTTTATTCATCTGGCATGCTTCCATTCAAATACCCATTTAATGTGGTCACCAACTACAGAAATAGTTAAACAGTACTGTAAATGGACATGTTTTCTTTGTTGGGATGATCGCTGACACACTGAATTCTTTTCATTAAGTAATTTGACCACAAGCATCTCTTTACTTTGGAAAAAGGAGGAAAAAAGCTCTAGAAAATACACTTCCTTTTCATATTTGCAGTGTTTATATAGGGGGATATACTTAGAATTTCAGGATAAATTGCACAAGGCATTGGAAGAAAATCAAGACTAGAATAAACATTCAGTTCCTCAGTTCCTCTTTTTTTTGGATTTGACCATTGCACACAAACATTTGTTATAAATAGATACCTCATTCGTGTTGGAGTACCATTTTACATTCAAAGTAGGATTCTGGAAAAGAAAATCCTTTTCAAAGTGATCTGAAGCAAACATGCAATTTGAAACTTTTGGTTAGTTTATGAATCTTTACTACAATTGGATTACATTTATATGCTCTGTAGTAAATACCAAAAAGCCCTCTGAAGTAAAACATGTTCCAGCTGAATAATCCTTACTGAGAGAACTTGCAACTGCAATTGTTTTTAGCTCAAGTTTATTCTTTTACAAGAATAAACACCACTGGTGCATACACTGCCAACCTGGCAGACATAAATCAGCTAATTAATTTGATGGTTGCTCTTACCTTACTTGAAAGAAGTGGGAGCACTCAAGTTCTGAGGAGAACACAGCACCGTTCTGTGTCTACCACCCCTATACAGAATTTGCTACTCTGTGTGGAGATTGCTGGAAAATATAGTTTTATGTTTTACCTTGTGAATCTAATCTTGAAGAATGTTAGTGCCTCTCTGAAGATATTTTAACTATGAAAATGTAGGCACACATGCACAAAAATGCTAGGAATTAATACTTATCTTCACTTACAGAGAAGAGTCAGTGCAGTGCAGAAGACAGAAATATGAAGTTTTCAGCGAGAAAGAGTAGAAAATACTTTTATTTGGTAATTTTATGGTTTGAACCAAGAAAATCAAAGCCGAATTTGACACCCATGAAAGCAAATAGGAAGAAAATACTCAAAACAGTAAATGCCAGAAAGTGCTAGTTTAATTCTAATCAAGACCTTGCTGTGCTGTCGCTGTGTGAGGAGTGAGAAACTCAGGTTTTGGGATGCAGAAGGAATCTGTAGAAATGTCTATGAGAGGTGTCCCTAGGGTGCACTGATACACTACTCCTTGGGGTTGCATATACTCTGTTGGGTTGCTCTAGAAGTGAGCACACCTAAATTTTCATTATCAGTGCTATTGACAGTGTCGGGGAAATGATTCACAAACTAAATGAATTAAAAGTTCAGGACAAGTAGGTTTGGCTTCAATATTTGTTTGTTTGAATCCAGAAATCATAATCTTCTGGGAGCCAAGAACCAGAGATTAGTATCTTTGGTGTCATTTACAGCACAAACACACCTAACCCTTTAAGTGGACTTCTTTTGGTTTCCTCCTGATTTAACATGTTTAAAATATATTCATTTTTTCTTAGGTGATCACTGCCTTTCCTTTCAGTGAAAGTATAAACTGAGTATTACGCAAGCCTGACAGTCTGGTTTTCTGATGGGCAGATGACTGTTTTTAACTGCACTTAAAGGAAAAATGACACCTCATTTACCTGGATAGTTTTCCTCTGCCTTTGAGAGCTGACAGTTTGTCGCTTTAAAGGTGCAGCTTTTACACTATTCAGATAATTGCAAAATATTTTACAGAAGCTCAGGCTATGGTTCTTGAAAGAAAAGAGACCTTTCTATAGACTCTTTCCTGTCTACCTTTTCAACTCTAATAGTTCCCCTACTTGACCAAGAATACTTCTCAGTCATGGCTGGTTTATGAGCATATAGCAACTGGTGTCAGCTACCTGGGCTTGTGCAAAGCATTTGTCCCACATAAAATCCTTGTCTCTGAGCTGGAGAGATGTGGGCTTGATGGATGGACCACTGAATGGATAAGGAAATGGCTGCATGGTTGCACTCAAAGAGTTGTGGCCAATGGCTTCATGTCCAAGTGGAGAGCAGTGACAAGAGATGTTCCTCACGAGTTGGTGTTGCGCCTGGCACTTTCTAATGTCTTTGTCTGTGACATGGACAGTG